TAAAACCTGAGGAATGACAGTTCAAGTTTTTTGGGCCCCGGCCAAGGGGTAGGCGTTGCTGGGAAAGGTAGCCTCTAGATCCAGGGTTTACCATTACAGCGGGATCTAGTGGTATGAGGCAGCTCCTCCATGTGTTCATCCCAGTGGAGCACCACTCTTGTATAATTCTGCTTCCATTGGACTTCATCATAATTCTGTATTCTATCAGTTGACAAGGGCACATACTGCCCATGTCAGTGCTAGTGATGCATGGCACAGTCTTGTCCCACTTCAAATGCTTCCTGTCATACACTACTTCCTGGGAGTTGCGGGACAGAGGCCGTACCCCAGATGTGATTTCCTAGAGTCTTCTTGAAAGGAATGGGGCATGCTGTGCCACAAACTCCTTTCTGGTGTCCTCATCCAGGAAACTGGCAACGGTTTTTGCCACTTGAAAGAAAATGGAATGTATCTCACCCAGCAAACTTTCACCACATCAGCAAAGCACACAAAGAACTTGAGGACAGTTTCTTCCCTGGAAAACGTCCCCAGAGCAGGGGCTGGTTTTCTGAAAAGGGGAAGAAGTCGTATGCCCTGGGAGACTAGAACCTTGGAATGGATTAAACAGGTTCGTGGTCTCGCTTGGACTGCAAGACAGTTGATTGCAGTGGCCACAGTCAGTAGGTGCTGCTTTCAAGGGGGAATATGGGACTACATGGACTAAGGCTGTGTGATTTCATAAGACCCTAGCACTAGCAGCCTGACACCATCCAAGTGTAGGGAAAGGGTGGAACTTGTAACTAGGGCAACAGCCCCTGTCAGACTCCGAATGTGACACATTGCTGCTGGATCTCAACCTGTGGCTGTAACATTTCAGGGTAGATGGGCAATAGCACACTTCCCCCGCCCCCAGGCAAACAACCTGGGCAACTCTGGCGACCCCTCCTTCATAGTGCATCAAGCTATGAGGAAGTGGCAAGGAGTGAATGGTTCTTTCTAGCCTCCAGAAACACACAGATTGAGTGATGGGTCAGATGGTGGTTATCTATATGACCATTTTGGCCTTTGGCCTGCCAGTTCCCTGTGGACCGGTCTTCACCAGATGACCTGTAGGCCTTTATGGATTCTACGTTTGTTGGACAAAACCTGTCTAGGCTTTGGAGGTCTCTTCTGTAGGCTGTTCTTCTGCTCCAGCTTCTGGACTATCCTCAGAGAGTTCTAGAAGGCAGAGAACACCAACAAATAGAAACCGGCTGAGATGGAGGTCAATACCAAGACTGAATGATCAGAGAGGCAAATATTTACCTTGGTCAATATTTTACTAGAGAGAGACAATAAAGATTGACATTGAGCCAAAGGAGTATATAGCTAGCTGCATTCTGTGTAAAAACGGGGCTCTTGTGAAGCAATGTGTGAAGAGATGGGCTCTTGTGCAGAGATTTACAATAATTCCAGAGGGGTGGCTTTTAATCTGCCTTTTCTCCCTTCAACTCTTTTGAGATTATTTCGAGGGGGGGGTAAAAAAAAATGTCATGTGTTCAATATTCCTGTGTCTGTATGTGAGAGCAAGAAAGCCAGGTTTCTTGCATCCTATGGATTTTATTTATCTTAGACTCTGTGTCCTTCATGCCCCTCTAGCGAGGTGTACCTTGGTCCTTCTTGCTATCTGCCCGTGGCTTGCTGTAATCGGGATGATCAAAGGCCGTGATCTTCTATTATTCTGGATTATCTACTAAGAATGTTTAGACAGGGAGGATACTGGGTACAAGGAGTTAAAGCAGGCACACTCTCAGCCTCGGTCCTTGGAGAAAAAGCAAATCTAAGAGACTTCCCAGCTAACCCTGCTTAATGTCATCCCAGCTCTGCAGTCTATACGGAGGGAAAAGACCACAGGAACCTACGGGTGGTATTCAGATGTAGGACACCATTCCTAGGAGCTAAAGTTATGGTCTTCTTCTTTTTTTTTTAATTAAGGAGACAAAAATATCTAAGTGCAGAAATCAGAAATCCGTTCAAACATCTTTGGCTTCACCTACAATGGGTCTCTATTGCCAGTTCCTGTTCATGAGGAAAGTCTGGCAAATTCCTCAGCCACAAGGTTTTGCTGCTGTCATTTTTACCCACACACTGGGGTCTTCCTCACAAGTTATCTGTCCCAAGTTCCATGCTTCTAAAAAGCAGTTTTTTTCTTGCTTCCCCAGCATTCATGGTGCATTTGTACATAGTGCATTTCCATGACATTTCTCTGATCTTTCTCAAACCTGCTTTGCTCTGAAGTCTTAGAAAAGATCACAGTAAAGTCTGGATGGCTGCTGGGGGTGGGGTGGGGTCTGATTATGGCCCACATAGCATCCATTTTCCCTATGTTCCTGCAGCAGCCATTTCCATTACCCACCACTAGGGGGCGTTTATTTTATTTTTTTAAATAGACCCTAGGATATTTTTAGACTGACACACCATTGTAGCAGTAGGCAGTGTTCCCTCTAAGCTGAGTTAGTGCAAGCTAGCTCACAGTTTTTTAGCCTCCAGCTCACCCATTTTTGTCTTAGCTCAGGAAGGATGGCTCCAGAGCAAACTAATTTATGCAGTAGCCAAATCGCTCGCTCACACAACTTTAAGGCCAGTAGCTCACAAAGTAGAATTTTTGCTCGCAAGACTCCACAGCTTAGAGGGAGCATTGACAGTAGGTATAGCAGGTTCTCAGCTTTCATTTTAAAAAGTCTCCAGCTACTTGTGGAAGGAAAAGATATATCTTTGCAAGAGAAAAGGCAAGAGTCAACTTTTTAAAATATTGAAAGCTGGGAATTCAAAGAATCTGCTATATCTGTTGTTACAATGGTCTCGTGATAGAACAGTATTCTTGTGCTGGTTTGTTTTTTGGTTTTTGTGCTGATCCAGAGATGGGGTGCAGCCACTTCCAGGGGACTGTGGCAAGAAAACTGTCAAGAAACCTGCCATAGGGAGGCCGTGTTGCTGCTGAGCTTTATCTGCAGCAATGGAGAAACCACAAAATCCTGTCCACCTGTGGAAGACAGCATTATCCCAGGCCATCATGAGCTTGTAGTTCACCCACTCCCACAGCTACATATCTGAGATCAGTTCCACACAATTCATCAACTCAGGATAAACACTTATGGAAACACTCAAACAGAAATGAGGCAAGGGCCCCTTGATGATCAAGCAAATGCACCCCATATCATGCAAATATTCAAAACTGGGGCTGGGTGGGAATCCTGCCCTCATCTGTGGCCAGTGTGAGACGGGTTCTCTCTGTGTTGCAGCATGAAGTGTCAAAAGAAACAACAGAACCATCTCACAAAAGTATTTCTTAGTTGAACACCATCTGTTGCACAAAACCGTGGTTCAAAAAATTTCCCTTCCCATGTTCCTACTACCACAAATATTCATTGCATGAAACTAAACCAATCTGAGTGCACTTGTGAAAACAGGAAGACATCCCTCTCTCTTGTTCTTAAGGATTACAATAGGGAGGGGTCACAGCTCAGTGGAAGAGCACCAGCTGGACGTGTAGAAGATAAAACCGCCAGTTGAAGGGTGGCAAGCAATAGGGCTACCAACTTCCCACTGGGGGCAGGCGATCCCCCACTCCCAGTTTCCATTGCCCTCTGCCACTCAGCTGGATGGCAGGGGAAAATGCCCAGGCAAAATGGGGGAGGGGGTGCAGTTAGTGTGCTGATGTGATGGTGTCGCTTCTGGTACAACCTGGAAGTGATGTCATCACACTGGGCGATGGTGTTGCACTCCAGCTGTGGTGGAAGTGGCTTCATTGTACTAGAGGTGCCAATCCCCCCCCCCACAATACGGAAGTCCTTGCCTCCCCCATCTCCCGCCAGTTGCTTGGCTATGCCTGGCAGCCCTAGGCAAGAAAGACCTTTTCTTGTCCAGCAACTTGCAGAGCCATTGCCCGTAAGAGTACATGATTCTGAGTCATAAGGAGGATCAATGGTCTGGCTTGGCACAAGGCAGCTTTGTACGTCTGTATAGTTACAGTGGGGGGATATGAACATGAGAAGAGCCCCGTTGGATTGGGCCAAGCATCAGGTCCAGCAGCAAGCAGCCATATCCTCCTGGGATGCTTGCAGACTGGGCACGGAGGCAACATCCTTCTCTCCCCTTTGAAAAGGTGTGATTTAAAACAAAATAAAAGTGAAACAAAATGATGTAAGCGGAAGGGACTGTGCCTGTCTTGAACAGAGGATGTGCATGGTGAATTGGGCAGGGCTGGCTAGTAGTGCCTGTGTGACCTCCGAAAGAAGCTCTTCTTTTGTGAAGTTCAGAGATAAGGGAAGCAGAGCAGCTTGGACAGCTGCCACTTACACCTCCGTACCTGAGCAAGCAGGTCTTTCTGTAGCTCAGGTGCGTGTGGCATTTGACTCCTTCCTGAGGTGGTTCCCTGGTACTGCCTTTGCTCTTGGGTTTAGAAATAACTGCCTGGAAAGTCACACGGTGCCGCTGCTGGAGTCAACAGCAGGCAGCAGAGAGCTGTTCTCCAAGTCAAAGCACTTTCTCTTGAACGTGGGGATGGGGAGAAAAGGGCTGCCCACGCCTTCTGTTGTAGGACTATTGGGAGCCACTAAAAGCCCTGTGTTTATTGGTACTTGGAAAATGGCCATCTGGTGGTGAATTGTCTTGGGTCAGGTAAAAGCATCTATAGCAGGAGTCCTTGGCACACACAGCCCCACCCCCTTCAGAGTTTTTCTATTTCCTCAGAATGGCTTTTTCCAAGTAAAAAAAATCTTTGCCCGTGTACCTACTTATTTTAGTCATTTTACCGGAAGGCTTATGGAGCCAGCTTCTTTTGCATCTGCATTCTTGTATGTTTTCACTTGCAAATCGACCTCACAGTTCACACTCATTTGCATGGTGAGATGCTACATGGGGCTCTGTTGAGTGGCCAATGGGACTCTGTGCACATTCTCCTCCTCCGTGCGGTGCTCTGTGATCTTAGCTGAATTTGTTCCTTTTCTCACAATCACTCTTTTTCTGCACCTCCCCTTTAGGCACGCGCTGAAATGGACAAGTACCTCTCTGGGCAAGTGCCCTTGGTGCCAATGGTGCCCGATAAGAAGTATCGCCGGGAGAGCGCCTCGGTGGTGGATGAGTATTTCTCAACCGAGAAGCCACCTTCCACGCCCTACAGTGTGAATATCAATGTGATCCTGCCGGACACCACTCACCTGCGCACTGGGCTCTATCGGCCCACCAAACCCCTGGCCCCCTTCCCCCAGATCAAAATGGAACCTGGCACCAGCTTTGCCCAACCCTGCTCATCCGTTACTGGCCTGACCCAGACTCTGCCAGACTTCACCAGTGTCTTCAGTATGCCCCAGTCGGTGGCAGCGAACAATATCTTCGTCAAGCAAGAGATGCCCTCCGAGATCCCTCTGTCATCAAGCCTGCTCTACCAGTTGCCATCTGGCCACAGTGGAGGAGAAATGACCACAATGGCACACTCCACGTGCAACACTACGGCCATCAGCACCATCACCGGAGTCGCCATGTCCACCACCAGCTCCGTGCTGGACTCCAGACCCCTTCCCAGGCCCATGAGGCCAGGCGGGCAGGCCAAGCCGTTCCAACCCACCTCCCAAGGGCAAGGCAGTTTCCACTTAGCAGGACAGTTCTACCCTGTGCCGGGAGTGAGCCTGCCCCCTTCGCCACCCAACTCGCAGCCCGGCAGTCCCGAGAACCAGCCGGAGCTCATCAACACCATCTCTCCGCCGCCTCCCTATGAAGCCACTTTTGGACTGAAACTGGCTCAGCCAGGCCAGATCCCGCCACTTTCGAACAGCCTGGGGAACCTCTCCCAGGGGCACGTCATCATGCCAGCGCCCAAGTACAATCGGCGGAACAACCCCGAGCTGGAAAAAAGGAGGATCCACCACTGCGATTACCCTGGTAAGGCT